ATATATATATATATCAAAGAGAGGAAAATCAAAGTAGAAAGTGAGATGAGACCAGAGGGAAAGTTAGTACCCCAAATACATGAATAAAAGACCCCTATAGTCATTCCTAAAGGTGGAGCATGGAATCTGACTCTGAGCTTTCAAGTGGCCTGATGGAGAAGGTTAAGAGTTTCAAGGTTGATTGTCTACAAGGTCAAAAGCATATCAGCTCTTCCAGGACTCTGAGAAGATTTCTGAGAAGAGAGATTTCTCCCATGGGCCCTAGTGGACATGGGCCCTAAGCATATCTTAGTAACAAAAAATGCGGTAATAGCTTCTTGGCAGGATTCCTCACTGTGGGCCAAGGATACCTTGCCAAGCTCGACTCATTTTAAGCAGCGGTAGAGGTTTGGGGGTGATAGTTTCAGGCTGAGCCCGTCTCCTGTACCCTTGCCCTTCTGGGCCCCTGTGGGTAGCCAGCCGGAAACCCCTTCTGGCTCAAGTGAGCACACCCATGGGATGGCTCTGAGGCAGTGTCCCTCTGTCCCAGGACACTCTGGAGAAGTGTGGCAAGTGTGGCGAGGTGGTCCGGGAACACATCATCAGGGCCCTGGGCCAGGCCTTCCACCCCACCTGCTTCACCTGTGTAACCTGTGCCCGGTGCATTGGCGACGAGAGCTTTGCCCTGGACAACCAGAATGAAGTGTACTGCCTGGACGACTTCTATAGGTACGGGAGGGGACTCCGCGCACCGGGTGGGGCCCCGCCAGAGCAGAGCCGCCGAGCCTGAGCTCTCGGGGCCGGAGCAGAGCTTTCCTGCGGTCTCTGGGCTCCCAGAAACCAGTTGGCCTGTCCCACACACCTGCTTGCAGCTGATGCTCTGGGTACCTGCGCCGGGCCAGCTGCTCAGTGTGGATTAGGCCCTTTTATCCCCAAGCCTGGGGATTAATAGGCAGGCAGGTACTCTGAAGGGTTCTGTTTTACAATGTGGAAACTGAGGCAGGCAGCCGACAATTCTCCCAGCTGATAAGTGTGAAGCTACGATTCAAACCCCCAGGCCCCAGTAGCTCGCCTTAGAACATGCTCTGCCTGAGGCTCAGCCCCTGTCCTGGAGTTGCTCACTGCACAAGGGCAGCTGTGCCTGTTAAAAAGAAAGGGAAGAGGAAGGAGAAAAAAAAAAACAGTGACCCACAATACGAGATAAATGAAACGGGGTTAAGCCCCAGTGAACACACAGCAGATTTCTCTGCTTTCTCAAATTCAAACTTTCCCCCAGTCACTTCCTTGGCTCGAGCTGATTATACCCTGGGAAGCCGGGTCCAATTACACAGGACTCTCCACCCGCTCCTGCCAGGAAGAAAGAGGCGTTTGTGGTTGTGGCTCCAGGTGCAGTCACATGGCAACACATCTGAAATAGCTCCGGAGGCCAACTAGAGCCGCCCCGGCTCCCACAGCTAATTTCTGCGGTCCTGGGCTGAGCGCCTCGAGCGTGGGTTCCCTTCCCTCTAGGAAATTCGCCCCTGTGTGCAGCATCTGTGAGAACCCCATCATCCCTCGAGACGGGAAGGATGCCTTCAAAATCGAGTGCATGGGGAGGAACTTCCATGAAAATTGCTACAGGTGCGAGGTGAGTAGGGCAATGAGGAGTTGGGGACGCGCTGTCCGCACGGCCCCGGAGCCCTGCCGAGAGCCCGCGGGGTGCGGGGCCTGCGCTGGGCACTGGGATACGGTGACCAGTCAGGGTGGGGGCTCTGCTCTCAGATGCTCACAGCTCAGTAGCGAAGGCAAATAAGAATGGAGATAATTGCAAATAGTGTCTAATAAGGAAAGCTCCGAGAGACGGTAAAAACCAAGGTCATCCTGCTTTTCCTCAAGGAGAGTCTCATGGGAAGGCTGATGGTGGGGTTATTGATCGGATAATCAAGGCTCACTCTCCATCTCGGTCCTGCCTATTTTGTGTGTTTGCTTTGTTTCCTCTTCCTGTGGGCTAACATCCTCTGTGAGGAGGCGGATACATGCCTGGCCACCGATGATCCAGCTTTCACATCTTCCAACTTAGAAACCTCATCAAGGGAACCGGTGTAGTCCCTAGAAGGGCTCTGATTGGCCCAGCCTGGGTCACATGTCCATTCTGGACCAATCACTGGCCGGGGCTACGATTGCCTACCCCTGGGGCCGGCAAAGCAGAACCATAGGAGACAGGAGTTGCTACAACCCTAGGAAGGGAGGGAAGCTGGGCAGACGCACGGCACAGACCTCGTCTCCAGGCGAAAGAGCATGTACAAATCAGCTTTGGGAAAAAGAAGGCGGTGGTCAAGTCCAACCAGGGTGGTGGAATCAAAGGCGATCTTGTGGAGGAGGCGATGCTTCACCAGAGTCCTGCAGGATGAGCAGGGAGTTATGAGCATTCAAGAGGGGGGGGGGGGGGGAGAAAGTCCAGAAAAGAGGCGCAGGCCTGTAAAACCCCACGGTGGCACAAGCAAGCCTGAAGAATCCGAGCGGGGGAAGTTTTTAGGTTTGTCTGTAGTGGAATGTGCCAAAGGGTGTGGTAGCAATGAGGCCAGAGGAAAGAAAAGGGCCTCCTGTGCCAAAGCTAAGGAGTCTGGACCTCAGGCTACAGGGTGGAGTGAGGCTGAGATGGGGAGGCTGCTTCAAGGCGGTGCTGTAGCCCCAGCAAGAAATGCCCCCCGAGTTGCACAGGGTCTCCCGCTCAGGGGGTCCCCTGTTTGCTTCCGAGCTCTGCTGTCACCGACTTGAAGTGCTTCCTCTTTGAACAAGGATCTCGGCTTTGCACTTTGCCCCTGGACTCTGCAATTACGGAGTCAGTCCTGCTGGGGAGGCTCTCAGAGGCCTCCCCTGACGCTTCCTCTGTCACCCCCATGTTGCTGATGGATCTGGCGTCTCTGGGGATGGGGACAAAGGTAGCTACTTTTATGGGTGCCATCCGTGGGGTGTCCCAGAGGAAATCTCTGAGCGTCTCAGAGGAGATCTCTTAATCAGCCCGTGAGCAATTCCAAACATTTATTTTATTTTGCACTTATTTATACACATGCTTGGAGCCAAGAGGCTGTTTGCACTGCTGGTGACAAGGGGGCTTGGAGAGAAGTTGACATATTGCCCATGTTATGTTGCGCGCTGGTTATGGCTCAAGGTCCAGCTGATAACACATCTTGAAAGAACAATGATGTCATTCAAGAGCTTTTATCACCACCCTAGCCCTTATTAAGGCCCAGTGGTGATTCACTTTTCCCTGAGCCTGGCTGGTGAGCAAATAGGCCCTCCCTGCGTGCCCTTGGTCAGCTTGGCGAAGGTGGCCATGAGTGTCGTCCCCCTGCTGCTAGCAGTCAGCTCAGACTGTGGCAGTTACATTTCAAGGGAAGGGGAGGGAAATGGGCTTCAAGGTGCCATCTCAGGTGAGGGATGATAAACTGAGGCAGAGAAAAGTGGTTCCAACCCTTGTCCGTCTGACTCGGGTCTAGCCAGCTTTCCACCAACCCTCAGCTCCTTCGCAGACTGTGACTCAGTCATAGTAGGGGTGTTTCCTCACTTGATTCTAAATTAGGAGAGGTCAGGGGCACCTGGCTGGCTCAGTCAGGGGAGTATGTGACTATTGATCTTGGGGTCTTGAGTTCGAGCCCCACGGTGGGTATAGAGATTACATACATACATACATGAGAGGTCACATATGGCCCTTGGGGACCTTAGGTTGGACACTTGGTACTCTCGGAATACCAAACAAGTGGCCATTAGAAATAGCACAGATCCTTGGCATTAAATTGCCTGCAGTCCCCTGTGGGACTTGAGGCGCAGTTTCAGGGAAGAGACACGTGAGGGCGCCCTTCTCCCTTGGCTGTGCTGGGCCCAGATGGCAGCCAGGACCCAACAGGACCCAAGCTGTCTCTCTGGGGACCAGCCCCTCTGGTCTGATCCATGCGGATTCCAGAGGATGCCAGCCGTGCCCTGAGCCAGGCCCCTGGACATCAACTGTTCCCATTGTCCCTCTCCAGTGTGTGTACAGGTGAGGCCCCGATGGGGTATGGGCTGTGGCAGAATGGTAAGGCGGGCAAGGTTTGGGCCTCGAATCCCCATCCTCCTTGATCCCAAATCCTTTGGTGATTTGAAAAATAAGAAATATTAAAGTTTGGACCAGTGTTGAAGCCGTACAGACAGGGTAGCAAAAAGAGACCACTGAACTCAGCCTGGAAACCTGTCCTGTCCCAGCTCTGGAACCAGCTCTCTGGTCTGGGGCAAGCCCATCCTTCCCCAGACCTTCAGTTTCCCCATCTGTAAAATGAAGCGACTGGACTAGATTCAGTTACTCCTTCAGGTGTTTATTGTATGCGTGTGGTATGCTAGTCTCTGGTCTCGGTGGGACCTAGCGGTAAACGGGGTTATGGCCTCACAGAGCTTATGTTCTCAAAGGGCCGCCGGGCGCTCATTAAGGCCCTTCTAGATCTTTCCATCATCCCTCAGTGTCCGTGATTCTCCGAGTGTCCTCAGGTCTCCCCTCAGCTGACTCTGCCCTCATCACTCACACCTCTGTGTGGCTGAAAGCCCGCATCGAATGTGCCCCTAGGCTTCCCTGACCCTTAGGGAGTACATTCGTTCAGTGAAATTCATCCACGGATGCTGGGGGAGACCCCGCCCCGTGCGGGCTCCGGGCTGCAGGGCTCAGGCTGGGGTCCATCCACTTGTGCCTCGTTTCCCGCAGGACTGCAGGACCCTCCTGTCTGTGGAGCCCACAGACCAAGGCTGCTACCCGCTGAACAACCGTCTCTTCTGCAAGCCATGCCACGTGGAGCGGAGTGCTGCAGGGTGCTGCTGAGGGCCCCCACTGGGCCCTGGGGCCGTGAGCTGCCCACTAGCCCTGGACTGGGGGCGGGGGGGGAGGACCTTTCCCGACTCGGTTTGCCTTTCTGACCCACTTTTGCACACTCTCCTTCTGAGCCATGACAGGGGCCAGCCTGCAGCTCTGCCCACCATGTCCGGGATGTGAGGGGCTGAGCCACCCCAGCCCCACCCCCCTCCCAGCTCAAAGGCTGCTGGACAGTGCCCCTCAGACTTCCCACTCCTCCTTCTGCCCTCTGGGCTGGAAGGCTTCCATACCTTGAACATCATGTCCAGGTTTCCCATCTCCTAGGGTCGTGCCCCTCTCGAGCACTGGCCTTGACCCCCATTTCCATGGGTGAGTTGGGGTGAGTCTTTAGATGACACCCTGTAGCTGTCCAGTAGGGGGCGTAAGACCAGCTCTGGCTTGCAGGACTGAGCTGTTTGAGTAGAACTCCAGGGTCCTCCTTTAACAGCCCTTTTTTTTAAATTTTGAGATTTATATGATGAGAAACATTCTTTGGATTTGGGGCGAGGTGGGGATCTTAATAGGAAATGTTTCATAAATGTACAAGA